AATAGTAAAAAATCTCCCCCCAAATTTTAACATAAATTGACAAAGCTGATTCTAAAATCCATTTGGAAACTCAAATGACCCATGTACACAAAATAAAAAGAAGCTAGAAGACTTGTTAGATGACTATGATGCCTCAGTAATTATAAAGATGTTACAGAAATTAAAATATGATTACTGAACTTGCATAGATACATAGGCCATGAAGAGACCAAAGAGTTCAAAAATGAACTTACATATATGTGCTCATTTGGTTTTTGACAAAGGAACCAATGCATTTTAATGGGGAAGAGTCTTTTCAACATGTGGTACTAAAATAACCTGGTATTGATGAGGAAAACATGAAAATCATCCCTTCAAATTATATTTAAAAGTCTAATCTTGTGGTGGCACCCATAGCTTAGTGGGTAGGGCGCCAGCCATATACACTGAGGCTGGTGGGTTCAAACCCGAACCTGACCCTGGCCTGCAACAATGACAACTGCAACAACAACAACAAAAATAGCTGAACATTGGGGTGGGAGCCTGTAGTCCCAGCTACTGCAGAGGCTGAGGCAGGAGAATCATTTAAGCCCAAGAGTTTGAGGTTGCTGTGAGTTGTGATGCCACAGCACTCTACCCAGGGCAATAGCTTGAGACTATGTCTCAAAAAAATACCCCAAAACTAACCTTATTCTTCATAGGCCATAGGGCCATGGAGATGTTTGGGATTTAACATTGGTTGAACTTTTTCCTTCAATATATAAAAGATACACACACATTATTGTGATTTGAAATGAATCCAAAGAAAATCTTGTGCAACTGTAATAACAACCCAGAGCCTGGTAATTTGAAAGGTAAGAACTGTTTTTCATGTAGTCACACGGACTGCAACTGTAAATGTCGTCTCCTTAATTACATGTACTACTTCAGCTTTGGAACTGCCATGGCATCTTCCTGGCAGGGCAGGAAGATGTCCAGAGACAGCGCTGGCCCGATCGACTTTCCCAGGCCATGGGAACAGTCTGGGGTAACTACTTATAATTTGACAAGCCATGTAAAAGAGTTTTAGTTTGTGTCAACAATATTCAAATCTTTGGGTCTCAGTCAGATTCCCTGAGTTCCCTCTGGATTTGAGAGTCAAATAAACTCTCAGATTCCACTTATTCTCATTTATACCTGCTTTTTCTGGGTTTATGAAGCTTCTCACCTTGGCTTCAGTCCTTTGAACGTGAGCTAAACCCCAGAGGTACGATTCCCAGGGCTTCCAAGACCCTGTTGTGGACTGTCCCAAGTCAGGCAGAGAGTGAAATTGGACTAAACAAACTCACCAAGTCAAGATACAGCCCAGAAGCTTTTGGATCCATTTTGAAACCCTAAGTCACAAATCTTCAAATCATCAGCCAGGTTTTTCTTGAAACATAGCTTCAGTTTGCTTAAATCAAATAGCCCAGGATTATACCAGTTTTGGAAAACATGATTGATATACAGACAGATATTGTCCAGGTTGTCCATGGGTCAGACACTCAGAGGGTATTAGATGTGCAAAAGGTTCATCAGGGGAAATTGCTGAGGGAAAACAGGGAGGGAGTCTCGGGAGTAGAGAGAGGCCTGAGGCCACAGCGTGGAGTGACCCCAGGCAAAGGAGAGAAGGATCGAGGAACACAGAAAACTGGATGGGCACATCCAGACAGAAGGGAGCCCTTGGGCTAAAGACACCATCAGAGGAGTCCTGTGCCTTCTAGGAAGAGGCCCACCTCAGGGATCCCATCCCGTGCAACTCAGCTGAGAACAGCCGGTGGGAATCTCTGAGTTTAGAGATCTGAGCGTCTCTGACTGTCCCAGATAGATGGATGGACGGTAAATGCCAGGTGGATGGTAAATAGACAGACAACAAGGTTTAGAATAGACGTATTGATAATATTTAGCAGGGAGGGACTATGGGGCATTTGTGGGTATTTCCTTTGCATTTGTGTTTCTGAAAACTTTTGCAAATCAAAATTTCCACGAGCCTTTCTTTTCTGAAAGCAATTACTTTCCTAATTTCAGAAATTCGCAATGCTCATGGTGTGTGTATGTGTGTGTGTGTGTGTCTCCTTGCTTGGGCCAATTTTCACCAAGCTTTCTGATTCTTCTTCTCCTTCCTCAGCTTCTCCTTCCAGAAAAGACATCTCTTTGAAGGAGAGAGGCAGACTGTTCCCCAATGTCTATGCACATTCTCTTACTTAACCAAGCTTTTGACTACTGACCATTTATTTTTAATACGTTAAAAGGGGGCACTGACCCATGTGCTCAAAGCATGTGTCCTAGGATCTCTTAAAAGACGTGCTGGAACTATTTGGGGGGACAAGGCATAGTTTAGGTGGGACCTTATAAAATCAAAATGGAATTTACTTGTGCTCTAAGAGATTTATAACCAAAATCTGCTAGTCTATAATATAAGCTAATCCCACAGTATGGACATTTTGTTTATAAACACTGTCCTGGGTAGATTAGCATCCTTAAATATTTATGAGCACTTGGAACCTCAGGAAGTAACCTTATTTGGAACCAGTGTCTTTGCAGATACAGTTGGTTGAATTAAGATGAGTCACACTGGCCCTAATCCACTGAGTGTTGCCCTTATAAGAAGACCATGTGGGCCACGTGACACAGAAGAGCTATGTAGACAAGGCCATGTGAAGATAGAGACTGGAGTGATTATGTCCACAAGCCAAGTACACTGAGGGTGTCAACACTGAGAAGAGGCAAGGAAGACCTCTTCCCTGGCACCTTCAGAGAGAGCATGGACCTACCAACATCTCCTTTTCCAGATGTCTGGTCTCCAGAACAAGGAAAGAACTTACGTTAATATAAGCCACCCAGATTGTGGCACTTTGTCACAGCATTCCTAGGAGAGTAACACAGGAGTCAAGGTGACAGAGCTGCACCATGGAGGTATTTGTGGACCAAGAACCACCTGTGAACAGAGGGCCCCGTGCCCCCTCCTTACACCCTTCCCTCATCAACAAAGTGCATTGGCAAAGAAAGCACCTAGGGGAGGATTCCTGACACCTGAGTTCCTGTGGGAACCGTCCCTCACTGCCAGCTGGCATTCCAAAGCCCCAAGCTTTGTATGATTCTGTACATACATGGGGAGTAGCAAAAAGTATACACACAGGTACACGGTGACTCCAGCCCGTTCCCATAACCAAATGCCTGGAAGCAGAGGGCAACCTCCCTCAAGCAAATACAAGGCACCCCTTAGAGGAGAGGGCACGTGAGATGCGAGGGCCCTTGGTTCTAAAGCCGTGTGACTATTCATGATTAGGAACAGAAGAAACCAGCCTGGGGACAACTTTGTACACAGTTGATCATTTATCGCCAACCTTTCTGGGGGGAAACAACCATCTTTTCTCACAGAGGTGATGTCAGAGGGAGTCAGCAGGGGCTGGGGCAGGGTGAGGGATGGCGGCTGCTACCCACTCATTGCGGAGCACAGCTGAGGGCGTGTCATGTGCACACAGCAGCATGCGGGGGGGGACCTGTGGCCAGAGGGGAGGTGATAGCAGCCTGCACAGGTGAGGGGTGGGCCAGGCTCGGATCCGGTCAGTTCTAGAGGGTCTGTGCTTCTGCAGCCCACATAATGCGATCACAGTCACAGTTTTCCTGAATTTTAGCTTTTACTCTCACATCTGATTTTTTTTTTTTCTTTTTCATTTTTTCTGGCCTCGACAAACAGAAGCCAATAGGTGTGTGCAGCATCCTTGCCAGCTGATATTCTCCCAGGGCCTCAATTTCTGCAGAAATCTGAATTCATCTCTTCTCCGGGTCTCCGTACCCATGTGCCTGCTGCCACTTCTCAGAAGCCAGGTCTTAGTTCTGGGCTATGGAGCAACATGAAAGAGTGATCCATAGATTCCTGCAACTTCAAAATAAATTTTGAAATCAGAAAAGAAATCATAGGAAAATTCAGAGTGTGTTACATGGGCTAGAGTTGTTTGCGGGATTCCATAAGATGAGGTTCAGTGTATAGAGTGTAGCAGGGTGCAAATTCAATCAGGAAAGAGAAACCTCACAGTAGGTTAACAGGAAAATTTTAATGTAAAACGTTATTAACTGTAATCAAGGAATAACTATAAGATATAACGGAACTCTGTGGTACCCTAGGGCTGAGGGAGGGCGCCCAAGGAGAGACAAGCATGGAAGGGGCTCAGCTCTCATTGGAGAAGGAGGCTGGTTCAGCTAGACCCCAGCTGGTCAGGAGCTGCTGGGCACACTAGACCATCCTCTGGAAGGCAGCAGGGGCAGTGTCTGTCAGCAATCCCGGGCACAGGGCTGCTGGGGGAACCTGTGCTCTGGAAAGCATAGACAACCTTCTGATGAGCAGGCTGCCTGAGGAGGGGTTGCAAGATAAGGTTCCTGAAAGCAGACCCCAAAGACCACAGGCACTCTGCACATGGCCCAGGTCAGGGCTTTTTGCAGACAAGTTTTCCCCAGGCTGAAGTTACAAGGTCACAGAGGCCTCACTTTCAGAGGCTGTGCCTTAGGCTGGCTCCCCGGGTGTCCTCATACCCACATGGCTGAGTCTCTCCTCTGCCCCCAAAGAAATTGCCAGAAGCCCCTCCCACCTGTAGTATCCCTTCTGCACCTGTTACTGTCAGAACTTAACCTGGTGATCACTTTAAAGCAGAAATGCCTAAAAGAATCCCATTGATTATTACAGAGCACTAACAGAAGGGTCTGTTAGGAGCTTAGAGGCAAGAACATTAAATCACACAGAAAGCTTAGCAAAGACTTTGGCACAGAGAACGTGCTCAGGGATTGGAAACTCTGAGTATTATAATTTTTATTCAGTGTTATTAACTGAATTCATCTCAATTACTTGGAATGCATTTAAAAGTTTGGTAACCATGTGCATATTTGTTGTTATATAATTTATTATGTATATTATTTAACTTGACATAATTCTGAGACTCTGTGTGTAAAGTATTCCTAATTCCTAACTGATGTTTGTTTGTTTTTCTCTTTTTCTTTTTGTCTAGGTCTTATACAATATATTAATCGCCTTCACCAAGATGCATAAATTTGAAGACATAGAGGCTGTGGACATCTTGGCTGGATGTGCCCGTTTCGTCATTGTGGGGGTCGGGGGGGTGCTGTTCGGCGTTGTGTTTGGATTCATCTCTGCGTTTATCACGCGCTTCACTCAGAATATCTCCGCCATCGAGCCGCTCATTGTCTTCATGTTCAGCTACCTGTCATACCTGGCTGCTGAGACACTCTACCTGTCCGGCATCCTGGCGTGAGTACAGACCGAGGGGCAAGTCTCAGAGCAAAGAAAGTTGAGGGTGGCGTCCGGTGAACCAGGCATCTGGGAAGGGCGTGACTTCTGATGCCAACCCTCATAGGTGCTCCAGGATTCAGGAGCGTTTACCCCTTTGTAAAATCTGATTCAGGTTCTTTGCCAAACAAATATCATCTCCCACATTTGCGTTTGCTCCCTTCTCCTGATTTGCCTGAGGAGGGTATAGCCGCGATGTCACTCCAGGACACTTAGGGAAGCTAGTGCAGAGACAGTCTGGGGGAAAGTTCAGCCCCCAAATCTTACCTGAGTAGTTATTTTTTTTTAACTTGAAAAATATATTTTATGTGTTTGGCGGATGGTCAAAAAAAGTTGTAATAAAAATTTAAGAAAAAAGAAAAATGTATTTCACAGTGGCGGGAAGCTTGCAGGAAGCCCCAGCGTGCCTGGCTCTGCCTCTGGCTGATGCCCTCAGACCACAGCACAGCCCAGGGCTCTGCCCTGGAATGAAACTGGCCAGATGGGATAAGAGTCTAGAGATCTAAAGTTCATTGTCCTAATGAAAACATTTTCGACACACTTACTCTTGTGTCCTTGTGTCCTTACATCCTTCAAATGTTTATCTTGGATGGAGCCTTCTCAGTTTGGCTTATTATTTCCAGTTGTGTTGTTTATGACCTCACCCTCCTACCCAGATATTCAGGCACAAATAGTTAATTTTGTTGCATAGAAATGCCTTCTTCGATTAAATAAAACAAGGTAAACTCTAGGCGTCCAGTCATTTTCCCACCTTAAAAAAATAATCAAAACCGTTAAGACAGGTAAGGTTCCTTCTTTCCCCCATGCTTGTTAAATGGCTCTCGGTCAGAAACATTGGAAATGAAGAGTTCCTTATACAATTATTATAAGATACATTGTTTGGGTGGAGGAAATGAAGGCCTGGCATCAGTATTCTACTTAGACAACTGAAGCGATTTATTTTGGTTTAAGGCAGAGTGAAGTAGAGAGTAAGACTTGAGACTGATAAGCCCTTGGTGAGGAAGGGTGAGACAGAGGCAGGCTGCTGGTGTGCCCGTGTGGAGTATGTGCCGTTTTCTTGTGGGAAGGCTGTGCCGTATCTGTCTTCCCCACCACGCTCAACTTTATTTTACCTTATGAATTCCCCTTGGGGAGGGAAAAGAGGAAGAAAGAAAATCTGTGGAAAATCCACAGCCAGAGAAAGGAACTGTCGGAGCTGCTCTCTCTAGATATGTACAGGCTTCCTGTATCTGTGGCATCCTCGAATTCCATGGAGGGACAAAACCTTGTCTATTCTCTCTGAGACTCTGCTCCTTTTGTAGAATCACGGCCTGCGCGGTGACAATGAAAAAGTACGTGGAAGAAAACGTGTCCCAGAAATCCTACACGACCATCAAGTACTTCATGAAGATGCTGAGCAGTGTCAGCGAGACCTTGATCTTCATCTTCATGGGCGTGTCCACCGTTGGGAAGAACCATGAGTGGAACTGGGCCTTCATCTGCTTCACGCTGGTCTTCTGCCAGATCTGGAGGGCTATCAGTAAGGGACAGCAAGGTTCCGAAGAGCCTGTGCTTTGTTGCATTTTTAGTTCTCCTATCCCCTTCTATAAAAACATGAGTAGTGAGGCTCGGCACCTATAGCTCAGTGGCTCGGGCACCAGCCACATACACCAGAGTTGGCCAGTTCGAACCCAGCCTGGGCTTGTCAAAAAACAATAATAACTACAACAACAACAACAAAATAGCTTGGCATTGTGGTGGGTGCCTGTAGTCCCACCTACTTGGGAGACTGAGGCAAGAGAATCACTTAAACCCAAGAGTTTGGGGTTGCTATGAGCTGTGATGCCAGGGACTCAGGGCGACATAGTGAGACTCTGTCTCAAACAACAACAACAAAAAACAAACAAACAAAAAATGAGTAGTGAGTGGATGCCAACTGGTTTTACTGGTTAGGGGAGTCTAGGCATCTTGCAGTGACCAGGACTGGTTTTTGTTTGCTCCCTCAATCAGCTCCAAGTAATTAGTGACTGATAAGATTCTGCACTAAAGCAAGCTGGAGCAAGGAGTAGTTTCTTCTTTTTTTTTTTTTTCTAATTAAAGATAGAACATTCACATCTACACATTTAAATATAACTCAGTAAATGTATCATTTGCTCTTCACTTCTTTGCCATCTTGCACCTTAAATCAGATATAGATTATGAACTGTGGGCATTTTATTTATGCTTTTGCTACAGGGCAAGTGAGATCTCATGAATTATATTCTACCTGTGACAAGAACTGTTAAAAAATGTTTCCTTAAATAGTACAGGTGGTTGTAATGGAGAATTGAGTGCTTGAGCCTCATGCTATAATATAGCAGACAAAACATAAAAACAGGAAATGAATCTTTATTTTATTATTAATTAGTAAAGGCAACCCTATCATGTAACTGGAATCAGAAATCTTAAAATGAGATCTCATGGCTGCACATTTCTCTTGTACATTTATATTTCAGGAACTAGAAAAGAATATTAAGCACTGAGCTACAAAATCTATGTTGCCTTTTGATTAGAAGCAATTCTATTTTTAAATGACTTTGACCAACATTTTCAAGCCAATTACTCAAAGAGAAATTAGAAGAAATGACTGAGAAATTATCTTGGAAATTTCAATTCCAAATTAATGTAGGATGAGTTATAGAATCTAGAGAAGAATAACAAGAATACAGAAATACTAAAATATGCATAATAGTAACTCAGAATATTCAACTCAGGGTCTCTTGGGGCCCTGGAAAGAAAAGAATTGAGGAAACTGTAATATAAGTTTATCATCTCAAATAAAAGCCTGATATTATTACTAATGAGCTATTTAATCTTAGACAGACATTTAATTACTCAAAATATTCTTCCTCAACCACAAAATGATGGATATGGACAAATTTCTTAGTTTCCTTTTAGTTCTAATGTCCTCCACCCCCCCCCACCCCCCCCACCCCCGCCCAGGAATCTGTAGGGGAATAGAGCTAGTACCAAGAGAAGTAACACCATTAGCACTTTAGCCCAACTAACAAGAAAAGAAACCATTCAGGAGACAATTGAGATTATAGACCTTTCAACATGCTGACTCTTAGTGACCATCCAGCCCAAACCCAAAGCTTATAGTTGAGAGAATTGATGGAATAGCCCCCAAGACAGGGACTGACTTGGCCAAGTCACAGTGATTGATGAAGCCACGTGTCAGAATCCAGTTCTACTCATGGCCTGTTCTCTTTCTTTCCTGGCTCATTGTAGCTAATACCCAAAGTGGTTCACACTCATGAAGACTTACAACACATAAGGCCCTGTTCTCTTATTGATTGATGATTGATTGAGACAGAGGCTCCCTCTGTTGCCCAGGCCAGAGTGCTGTGTCCTCAGTTTAGGTCACAGCAACCTCAAACTCTTGTGCTCCAGTGTTCCTCTTGCCTTAGCCCCCTGAGTAGCTGGTACTGCAGGCATGTGCCACCACACCCAGCTAATTTTTCTGTTTTTATTTATTTTTTAATTTTTTATTATGGGTTATTATGAAGATACATATGTGATTAGGTTACATTATTTGTGTTTATGAGAGTTCAAAATCTGGGAGGTAAGGGGATCACTTGTTTTAAAAAGATAATTTTTCTGTTTTTAGTAGAAGCGGGGGGGGTCTCAATTTGCTCAGGCTGGTCTCAAACTCTTGAGCTCAAGCAATCCTCCCACATCAGCCTCCCAGAGTGCTAGTAGAACAGCACAAGCCACCGTGCCTGACCTTTTAGTGATGATAAGTCTTCATATCCACCTTCTGAGGTAAATACTACTGTTATCTCCATTAAGCCAATCAACAGACCAAGGACATGAAACAATTAGGAACCTCGCCTGAGGTCACTTGACTGGTAGGTGGAGAAACCAGGACAAACAGAATAAAGTGACAAATTTTATATTTTGTTCTTTTACATAATTGATGTGCCTATTGTTAATGGGGGGAAAAAACCAAACCTGGGAAATAATTTAAAGATTATTATTAATTAATTATAATTAATTATTTAAATAATTTAAATAATTGTTCAGATCTGAACGTATGTGACCGGTCTCAAGAGGTGCTGAGAAAATGCCCTTCAGTGGCTGGGTTACAGTTTGGTTTTGTATAATACATTCATGGAGGCAGGAACTACACGGAAGGCCCCAAGTCAGCATGTGGAGGGCGTACGTTAGCTTGGCCCAAAAAGGAGGGACATCACACAAGCGGAGGGGAACTTGGCAGTTACGGGTGGGTTTAAAGATTCTTTGATTTGTTATTGGTTAACAAAATGAAGTTTTGTCTAAAGCAGTGGTTCTCAACCTTCCTAATGCTGTGACCCTTTAATATAGTTCCTCATATTGTGGTGACTCCCAGTCATAAAATTATTTCACAGCTACTTCATAACTGTGATTTTGCTTCTGTTAGGAACTGTAATGTAAATATATGACAGGCAGGATGGTCTTAGGTGACCCCTGAGAAAGGGTCGTTCCACCCCCAAAGGGGTCATGACCCACAGGTTGAGAACCCCTGGAAAGGCTTAGAAAGTTTTAACTTCAAGTAAGTATATCTGTTAATCAGAGACAAACCGGGGACATTTATGGAAACTCAAGTGCTCTATTAAGGAAATCAATGTCCTGCAGGTGTGGGTTAAGCTCTGCCTTGTGTAGCTACAGGCCTGATAATGATTTAATATCTATTGTTACAAAGAATATCACCAGCATGGAGGGGGCGTGTCTGACCTCACTTCCTACAGCCAGCAACTCAGCTTTAGGAACCCCCATTGAACCAGCTTGGGGGGCTCCAGATTTTATTTAGTTCACACTATTATCTGTGTGATTAGAAGTACCTGAGGATGTGCACAGCTATATTATACTAAGATGAAACCTCTTCTTTAATTACTCTTAGATGTGGGGAATAGACACTTGCCAGGAGTAACCTCTGCATGGGTAGTAGCTAAGTTGTGTGGGCTACTTGGGGATTGAAAATTCATGTGAGAGAAAACACCTTTGTGTTTTTATTTATTTATTTATTTTTGAGACAGAGTCTCAAGCTGTCGCCCTGGGTAGAGTGCTGTGGGGTCACAGCTCACAGCAACCTTAAACTCTTGGGTTTAAGCAATCCCCTTGCCTCAGCCTCTAGAGTAGCTGGGACTACGTGCACCGGCCACAATGCCCGGCTATTTTTTGGTTGCAGTTGTCACTGTTGTTTGGCAGGCCAGGGCTGGATTCGAACCAGCCAGCTCTGGTGTATGTGGCTGGCACCCTAGCCGCTGAGCTACAGGCACTGAGCCCAGCTTTGTGTTTTTCTCAAGCTCCCCTGCCCTTCACTTCCCATTTAAGAGTCCCACTGGCAGTAAGAAGCACTTCCCTGCCCCACCTTTACCACCTTCCTTCCTTGTTTGCATTGAACCTCAAAAAGTAGCCAACTATATAGGGTTTGCTCACCTTGCACTGAGAGGGACCCTCTCATTTTTAAATTACTTCTGTGGGATATCCAGTGAAAATATGAGATGATAAAAATGCATCTATCCCCCCAACAACATTCTTGCTTTGGCTAGTTTTAAAAGGCAGAGCAAAAATTATGAATACAGATTAGAAAATATATCCCTTACATTAAAAAAAAATCAAGATGTGTATTACTTTCAATGAGCAGGGACAAAGCGAGGGCCTTCAAGGGGGATAGGAGGAAAGCCTGGCCCACTGAGTAAGGAAGTCGGGAAGGGCCACAGAAACATTATGGGAACACTGTGACTCAATGGCCCAAGCACGTCCTGCACAAAATGCAGTTTCTGTATTTGGACATAGGGCGAACACAGCATACCACAAATGCTGCAAGTATTGGTAAAATCAGTAGCAGATTGGCACTCAGCCATTCTTACCCCCAAAGGAAGAGAATATAGGTCTGAGGTGTCAATGGCCAACAGAAAAGGATAAGGTGCCGGGAGATGCAGACAGGCCAATGAAAGAGTTACACAAACAATTTCAAAGGGAGAGAAAGAGGGTATTTATACCTTGACACTGCCTTTGTGGTGGGGTCTCTCTCTCCTCTCTCTCTAGAGAGACCCACTTCCATCTCTGTGGAAAGGCACTGAACTTCCTCTTTAACCAAATAAACCCTCTCTTTGCTATTCTAAAGCCTGTGCGATTTCCTTTTGCTTTCTATTTAACTGCTCACCTTGCTCCTGTTTTGCTTTTGATTCCTAGTCACTTTCACTTTCTAATCATGCTGTGCTGAGTAATGAAACCAGGTCAGCTGGGTTTGGGGAACCAGACCCCAACAGTAAGCATACAGACACACACAGAAACACATCACAATATACACTCTAGGAAGCTACCAGAAATGATTCCAATTTGAAGCAGTGTTACCTTACAACTAGCCACAAAGTGAAAATACATGAGGGACATTCTACGTGGGCTGGACGACCATGAGTGTTGCAGTTAGGAGTTTTGTTTGCAAGGGACGTGTGGATGCAACCCCGTTCACTGGCACTGTATCTCTGCGCATCTGTGAACCCGCTGCTCTAACACGCATTTTCCCCTTTCTAGGCGTGTTTGCTCTCTTCTATGTCAGTAACCAGTTTCGGACTTTCCCCTTCTCCATCAAGGACCAGTGCATAATTTTCTACAGTGGTGTTCGAGGAGCTGGAAGTTTTTCACTTGCATTTTTGCTTCCTCTGTCTCTCTTTCCTAGGAAGAAAATGTTTGTCACTGCTACTCTAGTAGTTATATATTTTACTACATTTATTCAGGTAAGTAAATTGTTTTTCCTATTTCAAGTAAATTCCTGCCATACAGTTAGAAAAAGAGAAATAAAAGAAAAGTTAGAAAAATAGAAATAAAAGCCCTTCATCTGATTTTCAGATCTGTGCTCAATAGACAAAATTCTTAGATATTTCTCGATCATCTTTGTGTTCACCCTTTATCTTCTAAAATCTATTGCCTTTTAATCAATTCAATGTATGAATCAAAATATTTCTGGGTAATAGGTGAATGATAGCCACTCTACTATGTATCTCTGAAAAAGTGTTGGATAGTGCAAGTTTTTGTGTCAGGGAAGTTAGCTCTTAATGAACTAATGAAAAGTTATTTTAAGGGATAAGACCAAATTCCTACATTCAAATACAGGCTATAATAACTATTTTACTGTAGCATGTAAAAGAATTAACTTCTAGAAAGAAAGAAAAGTAAATATGGGAGCACTTATGGAGTAGACACTAGTATAAAACAAATGCATACACATTGAATGTCTAATAGTTTTCTAATAGATTTGCCCTCTATAGTGACAATCTCACCACCACAAAACACTTCATTTTATTGTTTCTGATCTAGGGGATCACAATTGGCCCTCTGGTCAGGTACCTGGATGTTAAAAAGACCAACAAAAAAGAATCCATCAATGAAGAACTTCACATTCGTGTATGTTATCGCTTTGTCATACTAATATATTAATGAGATGTTTTGCATTTGTTGTCTTTGAGAACATGTGTCTATATCACCTGACTTAAAGCCCCTTTCCTCTTCAGCTCAACCAACAGTGACTATGATACTTTGTATGGCTGCTATTAGGATTTACCACAAATTTAGTGGTTTAAGACAAGACAGATTTATCTTACAGGGAGGGCAGAAGTTTGAAATGAGCTTCATGGGACTAAAATTAAGATGTTGTAGGACTACATTCTCTTCTGGACTTCTAGAAGCTCTAAGCAAGAATCTGTTTCCTTACCTTTCCAGACTTCTAGGGACTGCCTACATGCCTTGGCACGTGGCCCCTTCCATCTTCAGAGCCAGAAAGGGCTGCTCAGGTCTTTCTCATGCTGTATCACTCTGAGGGCGGTCCTCTGACTTCCTCTTCTACATTGAAAGATCTTTATGATTACATTGGGTGACATGGATAATTCCGACTATTCTCTCTATCTTAACCTCGACTGATTAGGCAAATCTAAGTCAATCTGCTATCTATATTATACCTGAGTGAGACTCCCGGTGTAATATCCAGAGGCATAATTCTTCATCTGTGAACCTGTAGGGCTTACAAGCTATCTGCTCTCAGAATGTATGGTAGGACAGTTGTAGGACAGCAGTTACAGATACTTTCTTTCAGAAATGGTAGAGGAAATGGAAAGAAAAGGGAAGTCATTGATTTTGAGTAAATTTTCATCCTTCCCTGGGGCAAGCTGTATTTAATTTCAAGTCCGGGGAATAATTCCCTGTAATTCTTTGTTCTACTTCATGGATTCCACCTTCTAAATAATACTTCCCTTTTCATAAAGGTAGTAGAGGCTTCCAGCTGAATGGTTTTATCAGCCAGCTCCTTGCTTTCTTTCATTTTATCCTCTCTCCGTTTTGGTCCAAGCTAGTGGTATTTCCATCAGGGTTCAACAATGAAGCAGAACTGGTAGGATATATATATATCCATTATATGTATCTGTGTAAATATATTATATATATGATATATGTATATATATGACATTTATATAACAATATATATACACACACAGCCATACAAAGAGAGGAAGAGAGATTTTAATAATATCCACAAAATACAATATCTAGTGTTTGATTGAATAACTGAGAACTTACCCAGCTAAGTTGATACCTCGTAAAACTACCACAGGGACTAAGATTCAGAATTACCCTACTTGCTTCTAAAACCATTGTTTCAGTGGAATATGGGGTCCTCTGCTCCTTCTGAGCTCTAACCAGGGAAGGGGTAAAGGCTGCTACTACTTCTGCAGAGGTGGTCTGCTGGCAGGTTTGGGTGAAAACATCCCACTCTGGCAAAGGTAAATATGAAGTTGAGCATGGTTTCTACCCATTTGTTTAAGCTCAGCACGATGAAGAGATGCTATTCTGTATGGATTTAAGGAATAGAAATGAGAATGAATGTATGAAAGGAGAGAGACTTCAGCTCAGTTAATACAAGAGCATGCTGACAATTGTGTTTTGATTGGCACACCCAAAGATGAAGTGGCTATGTCCTAGCTGTGATTGGGAACACTTGGAGTAGTTGCTTCAAAGGAGAGTCAAGCTTTGAGGTGATGATTGAAAAATTTTACATTGATTGTATCCCTGAGAGATTACAATCTAATATACTGAAGAAACTGAAAAAGTCTTACAAAGTCTGTCCTGAATTTTATGGTCAAGTTCACCTGAGGAAATTATGTAAATTTCATAAAACTAAAATAAAAAATTTTCAAGGCCATTTATACATATTTAACAGATGAGAACAGGGAATAACTGTTTTAAAATATATTATGCCTTAACCTGATTATATATTTTGTCTCTATTTTATCTTTTTGATTCATTATTTTGAGAAATTAGATAATATACCTAAGTCCATAGAACTTGGATATTTCACTCTTTTCTTTTTTCATTTTTCTTTTTTTTTGAAAAAAATTATCATTATTGGTAGAACACACTGAGTTAATTATTGAAGAATGAATTTAGTATTTGAATGTGTTTTTCCAAAAATATTTAGAATCCAGTATAAACTTCAGTGATTTCAAATTTAAATGTTTTGGAGGCTAATACATAATTATTTTGAACATTGTATTTTCCCCCTAAATTTCTATAAACAATTTTGGATTTAAAAACTGACTTGTATGATGAAGTATAAATACTTAGACTAAATGATCAGATAAAATAACAAGAAATGTAGGTATTTTGTTATATGTTATTATTATAATAGACTATCTATAGAATTATATTTTCAGAAACTGTATGATTAGATACTGGTGTGTTCTTTTCTTTTGCAATGAAATTAAAAGTAATAGTTGGTTATGAGGCTTTGCCTTCAGATGATTTTGGTAACAAGGCATTTCCTAGGTCATTGTAGAAAAGTATTATTCAAAGCAAATGCCACATGCCCTGTTTTTATTGCAAATTATGTGAATTATCAAGAAACTTATCTACAGAGTCTTTAAATCATGAAACTCAGTTGAATTACTATGAAAGGCATGACATATTTATTACATGAGCAGAGTGATGGAAAAGAGGATATGCTTCAGTCAATTAAAGCCACCTTTGTTTTCCAAAGAGTCTAAGCTTTCCTGCTGTGTCCTTCAATGTGAGCGTTTGACTCACTATCCTTTTCTTGTGTTGGGTTTGGCAGCTGATGGATCACTTAAAGGCTGGAATCGAAGATGTGTGTGGGCACTGGAGCCACTACCAAGTGAGAGACAAGTAAGGAGGCCTAGGGTTTCAGTCTCTAACAAAGGATGTTTGTGGCGTGGGGAACTGTCAACGGCTCCATTGGAAGCTGGGCAAAGAGAAAGAACCCAGAGAAAGGAGACCACTGAGAAAAAAGATGCGGCCATGCGGTCCAAGAAGCAGCTAGATGCCCTGGAACTTGGAGAGCGGATGCTGTGGCCATGGTTAGGTTGCTTCAGAAAGAACTAGTACAACTGATGGGTTGACATTCCCAATGATAAGAGCAGCTCAACCATGGAATGATCAGCTCCATGAGGCTGACAAGGGAATTTTAGGACTCATTAGGGACCCCGGGAAGGAATTCCTCCACTGTGGAGATCTCCAAGGCTCCTTCCCACATAATAATTCTTTAAATGTGACAGCCAGACTCCCTCTCCTTTTGCCCCCATTTCACGTTTCAGAGCAGATTCTCTTTCTGGATTTAGTCTCAGGCACAGGAGGAAGGATGTGGCTGGAGATGGAGTGTGTAGGTTGTCAGTGAGTGGCTGGGAGCTGGCTGAGGACTGGACTCTGAGATGCTCTCCCTCTCAGAGGTCAGGTTGAGAAAAGAAAGTGTGGGAGGAGGCTGAGAGGACGCAGTCAGGAGGGCAGGCAGAAAAGCAGTTGGGATTCGGAGGGCTCTGAGCTGCGACTCTGTACATTAGGAGACACAGAGCCACCAGGAGGCTACGGCAGTGGTAGCCTTCAGAGCAGAACAGGACACAGTCCAGGTGAGCCTGGTGAGAAGGCCAGAAAAGGCTGGAAGGCGGCCTGAGAAATAGGAACTGTGGCCTCTCATGCAGAAGGGCAGAATGCCAGAAGGCTGAGTGTGACCCCATCAGAGCAGTGGTAGGTCTGGTCTGAACCAAACAGACCCCCAAGTCCTCTTAGGCACTCACTAACCCTGGAGGGGACTAGCTGCTGCAGAGTCCTGACCCCCCAGTCTGGGAAATCAGTCTCCAGACAGCATGCCAGCAGCCCAGGAATTTATATTCCCTTCCAGAAAATAAAACTACTCTCTGAATGTAAAATGATTGGAAGTGATGAAAATTCCAACTGCAAACAAATGGCCGACTCGGAAGGCACCACGCGCACATGCGGAGCTCAGCCCACTGGGTCGCCCAAAGGTTCCTTACAATAGTCGGGGCCATCAGTGTCTCGCCTATTCAGAGGCTCCACCATTCATGCTGTTGGGACGTATGTGGGGTTTTTTATTTTTCTCCCCCTTAATTGGCAGGATTCAAAATGATCTGCAGCATAATGGGGCAAAACTACTGTAACTACCGGGCCATTTAAACTTATTGGGTTCTGGTTGAATAGGCCAGTATTACTGTAAGTGCAGCTGCCACTGTTAGGAGCTATTAGAATGGAACACTTGTTCAAAAGCCTCAGCCCCCTCCTTTCTTCCCTTACAATCGGAGCTGAGCTGGGCTGGGCCTCCCCCGCGCCTCCCTTACGCACAGTTTTTGCCCTGATTGCAGCTTGTCCCTTCCTTTTGTTGAGTTGATTTTCAATGTATGCAGGCCAGTAGGCTATTCTTTATTTTTTTTTTTAATGCATAAATACTATGAATTTTTTTAAAAGTATTCAAATGCTATGAATTCCAGGCACTGTCCCAATGTATTCTTTTTTAAGTTAAATAGTGAGTGGTTTAAGAAAAAAATGTGTACTTCCATAACACATATAGAAATTAAAGATTTCCAACATGTTGGTTTTCATTTTTAGGTTTAAGAAGTTTGATCATAGATACTTGAGGAAAATCCTAATCCGAAAGAATCTTCCAAAATCAAGCATTGTTTCTTTGTACAAGAAGCTGGAAATGAAGCAGGCCATTGAGATGGTAGAGACTGGGATCCTGAGCTCTACAGCTTTCTCTGTGCCCCAGCAGTAAGTCCTGTGTGCTCTGTGACCTAGTCATTCATCAGAATTCCAGCAGGCCTGAGTGCGTTGTTCCATTTAAAACTAATACTACCACATACACCTGAGCTGGCAGGTTCCAATCCATCCTGTGCGCGTCAAACAACAATGACGACTGCAACCAAAAAATAGCCAGGCGTTGTGGCAGGTGCCTGTAGTCCCAGCTACTTGGGAGGTGGAGGCAGGAGACTCACCTGAGCCCAGGAGTTGGAGGTTGCTATGAGCTGTGATGCCACAGCACTCTACCCAGGGCAACAGCTTGAGGCTCTGTCTCAAAAAAATAAAAAAATAAAACTAATACCAGGAATGAAGAGGCAGAAATAGGAGGAAGCAATCATGAAAAATATATAATCTAAATCTTGGCATTTTATGGCTTGACCTGGTTTCACCGGTCAAGGTTGAACATGTTTCTACGGGTTTCACCTCGTTTCTGAAAATTACTTTCTAGTAAAATTTGCCTGCTTGGAGTTTATGGTGCCTTCTTTGGGAGGGAGGGGCAAGGTAATGTATAGAACTACAACCTATTCCAAAAGACTTTCTCCTTTTCCTCCTGACTAGAGATCTCTCCCTTTACCCCCTGTTGGTGTCTTCCTCCTTTCCTACCCTTGTTTCCTCCCACAAGTCATTCCTCGTCCTCTTTTATGTGAGAGATGAGTTCCCCTTCACAGATGCTTACTTGGATTCGGGCATAAGTGATGGTAACAAGAGATGTGATAGTTGGTGGGCTATTTAATGTATGTTTTAATATTTGGGCATACGTGATGGTAGCAAGAGGTGTGATAGTTGGTGGACTATTTAAAGAGAAAGCTGTGTCTGTAATGCACTTATGGCAAATGTTTGATTGTGAGATTTACCTGGAGGTCATGTGAGAACAGCTTAGAATAGGAGCAAGGAGTTGAACAGAGGATCCCGGTGAGTTGGCATGGAGGGGGGGATAGGGAGGGTGTATACCAGTCTATAAATCCATCACTACAAGATGATTTTTAGGGAGACATGGTGTGTTTATTAGAACACCTGGTTACCAATTGTCCCAGCAGCTGACCAAATAATATTTTTTTTGTTTCATTTCTTTCTTTTTTTCTCCTTTTGACTTTTTTTAATGGACAAGTAATATTTGTACATATTCATAGAGTACATAGTGATGTTTTAATATATGTAATATGCAGTGGTTAGATCAGGGCAGTTAGCATACCCATCATCTCAAACATTTATTATTTATTTGTGTTGGGAAGGTTCAATATCCTCCTTTTAGGTATTTGAAACTTTGTAACATATTGTTGTTAACTCCAGTCTTCCTACAGTGGTACCTCACATTAAAGCTGTTTTTTTTAACTTTATATATATTTTTTATTAATTTTTACTTTTTTATTAATTTTTAATTAAAATCACAACTGCATAATACATTTATGGGGTACAGTGTAATAATCTGATATACAGTGTAGAAAGCTTAAATCAAACTAATAAACACAGCCATCATCTCACTGATTTTTTGTGGCAAGACATTTAAAATTTACTCTTAGTTATTTTGAAATACACCCTGACATTGTGCACATTAGGTGAGATCTCACCAAATGTCCTCCCTCCCCCCACCAATCGCCCTCCTCTCTTCCCCTCCCGTCTCCCACCTCACCCCTCCCCCTTGCTAGATATATTTCTGTTTTATCATTCATATGAGTATGTAAGTGTTTATATTTTGGTTTCATATTAGTACTGAGGACACTGGATACTTTTTTTTTTTTCCATTCTTGAGGTGCTGTAGTAAGAAGAATGTGTTCTAACTCCATCCAGGGTAACAAAAAAGATGTAAAATCTCCATCTTTTTATGGCTGAATATATTCCGTGATATACATATACCATAATTTGTTAATCTGTTCACTGGTTGATGAGTGTTTCTATGGTAAAACTGTTTTAACTCTGACATTTAGCAAGAGCTGCTTTAATGTCAAAAGAATTAATTCAGGCCCTGCACGGTAGCTCACACCTGTAATCCTAGCACTTTGGGAGTCTGAGGCAGGTGGATTGCCTGAGCTTATGAGTTCAGGACCAGCCTGAGCAAGAGCGAGACCTTGTCTCAAAAATATAGCCAGACACTGTGGTACACATCTGTAGTCCCAGCTACTCAGGAGGCTGAGGCAAGAGGATCACTTGAGCCCAAGAATTTGAGGTTGCAGTGAGCTATGACGCCATGATGCTCAACCCCAGGGCCACTGAGTGAGACTCTGATTCAAAGATGCTAATTTTCTTCCAAGAGTGGCTTATAAATTGGAAAAATTAATCACAACATATATTTAAAATGAGGAACACAGCTTCCCTCCATCCTGTTGTCTTCAGCAGGTAAAGACACTTGATCATGAGCTTCAGTTATATCCTCACATTGGAAAGCAAATTGAGAGAAGAGCTAAGAATAGGTGGCAATAAAATTGTCACTATTGCCTGAGTGTTATTTCTCAGATAACACCTTCGTCCTTTATCTGCTAATGAATCAGAAACACCCTGGCCTTTCTTACATGGCCTCCTCCACTAGCATCCTTGAGGACAGCTCAGTTACAAGCTTTCTGCCTTATTTCTCAGTGAGATCGTTTTTTGTGATTTGTTTGATTGTTTTGATTCTGCCCATTACATGGCTTTAAGGAAGCTTCTGATACTAAAATGGGGAAATGTTAACAAATCTATTAATATATTGCAATGCCCTGCTGAGCCATCGTGGAGCCCATGGCAGAGGAGGTCCCAAAGGAGACATCACAATTCCTGATCCTATTTTTATTTAAGATGCTGATATTTTATTCACTGATGATTTTTTTGTATTGCCATTTATTTTTCTTAAAAAAATGTATTAAAATCTTACTTATCTTAGTTACTGAGCTTTTGGGCACCCACCAACTTGCATTTTACACTATAAATCCAGTCCCATTTAGTAGATATCTACTATGTGCTTATGTGCCAAGCACTGTGAAGTGACACGGGCCTTGCCCTCAACACCATACTCTAGTAGGGTCCTGACACTCATATACAGGGTCATACAAACAAATGACCATCAAGCATAGCTCTCTATGCGGTCTCCTCCCATCTGCCCTTCCCACTGAAGGGTGAATTTCAGTTAATGTAGTGGAGGGGCCTGGACTGATTCAGGCAGTTTAGCCCATTAGAGACTTCCTCAATTTCTTTGCTTACTATTTATGTGAGCACTTGGTCTAGGAATGTAGGGCACTTATCTCAAATGAGAATCAGTCTATCAAGCAGTAAAGCATATTTTGAATTGCTGTATTCTATTGTCCCAGCTATAAGCAATTGCCCTGATTGCTGACCTGACCTCAAGGCAATATTTAAACCGGCTTTATTTGAAGGGGACTCACCAGTTGAGTCAATCATTTCTTTAAACTTAGATTCACGATTAGTAAGAGAGCTTACTTAGGTAAGAGATAAGTATTTTCTTCCTATACCCCAAATCAATTAGTTAACAGATGTGGAGAAGAGTTTTGTTTTGGGGTTTTTTGTTTTTTTTTTTTTGGTTTTTTTAGAAATACACTTTGAATCTCTGCAGGTTAGAATGAATAACAAAAAAATATTCTAATCAAAAGCTCAGTGATAGAATATTTAAGCTCACTCCTGGCTGCTCTCAAGCTTAGAAATAAAATATCCTAATGGAATAGGTTGGCACTATATAATCCTAGAAGAGATTTTTTTTTAATAGCTGATGTTTAATACAAGTTTAGCATTTAAATTGCACTTATTTGATCTCATCAGAAATCTGGAGGACGTCAAGCAAAAAGGAATTCCTCTCCTAAGATCAAAGCAGCTAATTTCTTAAAAAACAAACCTTCATACAATAATAGGAAGAAGAAGTGTGTACTCAGCTCACTTTTTATTATTCTGCATGAGATAACAACAAAATGCACATATACTTTTTTCTTTAGAAGTTTAAGCAATTGTTCTACAAAAGGTTTGGGTTTCCAAATTCTTTGACCTTCAGGAGAGCGCTACCACCAGCACTGTCTACAACACAGTGCCTGATGTTGATTCTATATAAGTCCTTTGCTTTTACCTACGTGTGAACCTTTAATTCAAATACTTTTAGGTTCATGGTTTCCCAGTTTGATTTCAGTAAACATGAATTACCATAGAACTTGTATTTTTGTAAAAAAAAATTTATTTGAAAAATTTGCCGATTTTCTCTGTTTCATTTAAATTTTAGTATTTGTGCTACTGAAGTAAGCACCACAGAACTTTCATAGAAGGTGATGGAGATTTCCTTTATGGATAATGGATGAGTGTTCCAATGACAAGAGTCTGTCAGTTAATAATTTGACTCCGTTGACATAGGAATTATTACCCATTCAGTTTTCTAAGGATTTTATCTTTCCCAGGCTTGCGATATGAGCATTTCAGGGATGATTTCACTAATTAAGTGGCATGAAGAAAACTCCAGGTATCACCTTGCACAAGTTAGTCCTGACTCTATGTCATTGTGTCGCTGTGGCTTCTCGATATATAACTCAGTGGGAGACAAGGCCTTTGGGATACGTGTAGTATTCATTGCAACCCACAGCCTAGATAGATTTTAATGAAGTCGGTCTTTCCCAAAGCAATCAATTATAAATGGAGAAGAGCGCCCAGTTAGATCTCCTGCTGTATTGAGTTTAACTTCCTTGTATCAATGATTTTTCCTATTTTGTTGTTTTATTATGAACACAGTAAATCGAACTATTTGACTAGCTATTATTTCTTCTTAGTAATATGTCATAACCACCATATTAAAAAAAAAGTGTTCAGATTGTAGGGGAGGGTGAAGACATTTAAATCAGAGGAAATTTTATTTGAAGGACATTTAAAGAGTTAGGTGGAAATGCTCTGATAATAGTATTTAGATTACCAAGGGTGGTAACTAAATGGCAATAAGAGAAGTTACATCTTCAGCTTTAAGATACAAAAGCTCTGATTTCAATAGGTTTATAGAAAGGGCATTTGTTACTCAACAGACAGCATTGCTAAATAAAGTTCTGGCATACTGTGATATCCAATGAACAAGTTCTTTAAAATCTTTCACCAACTGTATAATACTTTCAAAATGTCCTTGGCATTTATGGCTATATTGCTACTAATGTCTTGGAAAAAAATACATAAAAGTTGGCCTGAGTAATTATTTAAAACCAATAATTACTCATCTATGTGATCAATTATCTTAAGAATAAATGCAAGCAGATATCAAAGCCTTCAGTGCTCTTATGCATTCAAGAGACCTGCAGCCAGAAAAAACAAGCAAACCAAAAAGAACCCACAAGGTTTGCATGTGGTACCAACATATTAAGGAAGGTGACCACATTAAATTACCCTTAATTTTCTCTCTCTTTTTATGTTTTTATGTTCTACAGGGAAGATATATTATTCATGTAATAAAAAGGTATTAAAAATTACTGCCACTAGATTGTAATCAAATACGGTTGTCACATGAGAATTCTTCCCATAGCAATGTCATAGCTTTGAAATCCCAGAGGACAATTGTGTATTGACTGCTAACCTGGGCATGCATAACCTGGTTTTTTACCCCTTCTGGGGGCAGGAGGGTTCATGGTGTCCAATGTCGCAGGGCTGGGCTGACTCTGCAGTGTACATGGTCTAATTCCCTTTGCAGAATGTGATTCTAGTTTCTTAAATTATTCCTTACTAAAGATAAAATCTCTAAAGGTACCATTCCAAGATAAATGTACTCATGAAATTCAATACCCTGTCGGATCAGTGCAGCTCACAACGCGGTCTGCAGATGGTATTGGGCTGTAAACTGTTCATCACCTATCCCCAACTGAGTAACTTCATTTGTGTTTCATTGAATAGCAAAACATTTGGATTGCATCATAATGGTATTATTTTCTAATAATTTATTTTATTGTATTTTACAAATGTCAATTCATAACAGATTATAAAAAACAAACTAATTTGTTCATCACCACCTTAAAAAAAAAACATAGGCAAAGGGACAGTATTTTTAACACTTGAAGCCAAGACACGTATTCTGACATTTCAAATCAACTTACTAAAACAATAGGAAAAATGACGTAAAACAGGTTTCTGGAACTTAGGGTTTCTACTTTTACGACAGAAGGCTCATTGATATTTTTGTGGCAACTCTTGCCAAGATGTAGAATAATGCTTTCTTTTATTTATTGAATGATGTTTCCAGGGCGCAGAGAATACAAGGAATCAAAAGGCTTTCCCCTGAAGATGTGGAGTCCATGAGGGACATTCTGACACGCAACATGTACCAAGTTCGACAGAGGGTGTGTATGATCAATCTGCTTTGTCGCTATTGCCTGTCTTGGAAACATCCTACAGGAATCTGCTCTTGTTCCCATTGTCTTCTCTAAAGCAGCCTCTTGCTGAACACTGAAAGTTAATAGTCCTGTTTCTGAGCCAAATTGTCACCTGTGGCATAAAAAGAAATGCAAATCCAGTTGCCGTCCCTAGGGGGCAGGCTGCCCTAGCCCTGCAGCCTGGTGCTTTCCAGAGCAGCTGGCATAGAGCTGGTCCACTGCACAACAAACATGGTAGGTACCTGCACACTGACCACAGTGGAGCTGACTATATATAACAAATGTTAAAAAGCTGAGATGGCTTAGGTTAGAATATCACGACTATAGTGCTGAAAGCCTGAATAAAAAGAGACACCCTTGGTATACACTTTGGTTCAGTTCCCCAGGACAGTACGGATTGAAAATAAAATAGAATCTGTACTGTCCTGGGGAACTGAACCGAAGTGCATGCCAAGAACATTTTTCAGGGCAATTGATGAATTCTTCCGAAACTTTCATTTAGCCAAATTATATTTAAACTTGTGTTATCTAATTAGGAGTTTTTCCAGGTTTGATGATTTGATTGTCCATCCTAATTCTTGGGTATGATTATAAGCGAACTTACTGGGAGGATCTTTCAGAGTCTTAGTGGGACTAAAAAAACATCATGTACTTAAAGCTTCTCATTTTCAAATATGACACTCCCTGGTGTTCTAGTCATTAGAATTTGGTGTTCTCTCTCTCTCGTTTTCAAATAGAAGATACTTGGATTAGTGGCGTTGGTTATGTGACTTGTTCAAGCTCACGAAACAAATTCACGTTAGCAACATAGGTCTTTGGACCACCTACCCGGTGCTCTTTCCTTGATTCCAGATGTATCATCCAGTGAAAGTGAATGGTTTGGCTTCCCGTTGCAGAAAGGTCAATGATTAAGGCACAGATGTCATTGAAAGGGTCAGCCCCAGCTGAAGGACGATATAGGTCAGCATCAATCATAGCACGGCTTAGAGTAAAATTCCATGGCTCTCAAATCATTCCAAGTGAAACTGTTTCAGTAAGACTATCACATCCTGCCTGAGATAAATAGATAAGAACTTCCTGGTTTGAAGAATGTGGCTAGATCAGTGAGGGCCAGGGCCCCAGTGGTACCACGTACCTGGTATTCAGCTGTTTCTCCATGCTGATAAAGGTCAAATTTAGGGAAAGGTCTAGAAATTAAGACAGAGATCCTAGAACTCCAACCCAGTCTAAAATAAGGTCAACTGCTCATCTTTTTTTTCTTTCTTAGACTCAGGTTTTCCGATAGCCTCTTTTTAAATTTGTTCCATATGTCCTGTTGAATCAGCCTTCCAGAGTTCTCTCTTCTAAATTTTATGGTCTCTCTCATCCTTGTTGCCCCCGAATTTGAGTATGCAGGCCTGTTTTCATTTAAAGAGTTTGTTGCTTAGCACTGTGTGAATTAAATGGGGGGAAACATAATTAATGAACAGAAGGTTTATGTCAGCTACTTTGAGGTTCCTGTCCTTTCTGTCCTTGCTTCCTGACCATGCTTTAGAAAGGTCACAAGAGTCCTCTCTCCCACCATAGTTCTTTTGTTCTCTTGAAAGAAAAATCACTCGAAAATGCAACTCAGGACAAATATACATCCTCCTGTTTCTAGTGGACAATCTACATTTTTGAAGAATGTCAAAAGGGGTGTGTGTCAGCCATCTAGGGCATTTTAGCTTGGGAGGCAGGTGCAGGCCTGGGACTGGGGGCGTATCTCACTGTCCATGTCTAGGAAGAAGCCTGCCTTGAGCATCAGGAGTCACTTCAGGGCAGGGCAGGATGAGTGTAGGGCTTGACTCTAGTGATTTTATTTTATTTTTTTAATTTTTATTTTATTTTATTTATATATTTATTTTGAGACAGAGTCTCACTATGTTGCCCTTAGGAGAGTGTCACAGCTCACAGCAACCTCAAATTCTTGGTTTTAAGTGATTCTCTGCCTCAGCCTCCCAAGTAGCTGGGACTACAGGTGCCCGCCACAATGCCTGGCTATTTTTTGCTGTTCTTGTTGTTGTCATTGTTGTTTAGCAGGCTAGGCTGGTTTTGAATCCACCAGCCCTGGTGCATGTGGCCAGTGCCCTAACCACTAAGTGATGGCCTCCGAGCCATAGTGATTTTAATGCAGGGTTGATCCAAAACTAAACTGGGATCCCTGGGTCTACTGCCCCTGGGGTGACTCCAGCTCCTCCTGTTTGAAGTCCTGCCCAGGACAGGATTCTAACCCATCCAGGACAGAATCTTCACATGTGGGGAGGTTGAAGGACTGACCTCTGGAGGTTCCCAAAGGGACAGCCACAAAGGAAGCTTTCTAGAACACAGTGGGGACTGAGAAACACTTTCTAGACTTAGAAGAAACTGCCCCAGTCCAGACTCCCAGAATAGGTCACAGATTGATGGACATTTGCTGGGATGGCCTTAAGTGATCAAATCACTCTAGGAATTTCTACCTAATTTCAAAGGAGGAAAGCCATTTATTCAATTTAAATTTCTTTCAGCAAGCAGGTAATGAAAATGTAGACTGGGCTGTGCATCAGGAACATGGTACTGAGTAGGGCAGAGTTCCTACTCTGGTAGCACCCAAGGTGCAGTAGGAAATGCAAACTTCAAGCAATAACAACCCTCTTTCACTAAAAGGGCAGAAATGGAAGGAGAAAAGGGAAAGATTTGCATACATATCACAGGCTTAGAATCTTCTATGCTCCCTGCAAGCAGGCAAAAATAGAGAAGCACTTGAGTTATGGGATGGGAGGTGAAACAGAAGACTAATATCCAACTGTTCCTTGAAGTACAGCCCAACGCCCCAAGTCTGGGTGTAGGAAATTCCTGCATGCACACATAGATATAAGCACACAAACATACACACATGCTGGATTTAGTTTTGCATAACATCAACACTGATAGAAAACTGTAAAAGTTTATCTCTGTATTCTTGATTCTTACCTGTCACATCCTTTCTGCGATAGTGTTGTACTATCCTTTTTAATATTGTAGTGCATAAAATGCACTTAGTTTAAGGTCTGTCGACAATGATGATAGACAAGAATCCGTATTTCAAACTGTCATCAAAATTCAATTTACGGGGCCAAATTCCTGTGAGATCAGTTCATTTGTGGGAAGTGGATTGATGAAGAGCCCTTCTTAGGCAAAGTTCAAAGTCATCTTTGCTGCATCCTCGTTGCTCCCGTGGCCTTCAGCTATGGCTTCTTTCTGGAACTGCTCTTAGACCATTGTGTATTTCATGAGGATTCATTTAGTTAATAGAGCGTGACATTCAGGAACATATACACTAAGACATAAACAGTAAGCTGGAAGCCACTGAATCCAACGGGAACACAGTTGTCAACGATTCCTTGACCACGTATAGATCAAGAGAGGGTCCACTCTAAATCCATAGATTAAGTATTAATAAAGCTTGAACTCTTTGTATTTCTGAGATGAAAATCAACAGAAATAGAAGCATTAGTATTTTTCTTTTCTTGTGCGTGGCTCATCTCGTGATACCCCTTGGCATCAGTGCACCCCACCTAAGAGATATGGGACCTGGAGGATGGAGTCTTTGCTCCTTGCAGGTTGCTCCCTGCCTGGCCCCAGGCCCTCCCTGCTCCTCCACGGTCACCTCTTACTACACTGTAAATAAAATACATAGTTGGTCTTCCTGTGGTCACACACATTCCTGGCTCATTTGCAGTGGCTCCTCATATAGTCCCGTGTTAGTTACAGATCATGTCTTAGCTCTTGTGCTACCTCTTACTGGAATTTACTCCCAAGACCTCTCTTGTAAGACTCTGCTCAGTACAACAAGCCTTTCCCATCCAAGACAGGAAGAAGCACCCTTTGTCTATTCTCTGATGATCCCAGCCTCCAATCACTTGCCTGAGCAAATAACCTGACATCTTTATTTGGTTGATTTCCCCAGGAGACTGAAAGCCTTTTTTTTTTCCTTTCTCCACCCACCTCAATCACAGGCCTGGGTAAGGTGAAGATATAATACTTTATTCACTAACACAGCCCAAGGGAATGTAGGCGTGTTGTCCAGGGACTCTGGCAGGGGATTCTCCCAGTCTCCCAGTTCCAGAACAGCCAGCATTTTGAAGACTGGAATTCTAGTTTATTCCTTTTTCAATCTTGTGCCTGCCACAGCACCTGGCACACAGAGCATTTGCTCTGTCTCATTCAAGCTTAGCTGCACTGACTGTCCCTGTCAGAGCATCCATCAGTGGGAAGAGGCAGCACCCGCAACTCCTCTGCCATCCCCCAGCAGGACTTTGTGGTTTATTAGAGTACACAGTGTGCCACCTGCTGACCCCGGGGAAGTAGGGCACTCACTGCCAAACCTCAGAGTGAGCAGCAAGGGGAAAAGAAATTCCAGGTAAGCACTTTGCCTTCTGTCTGAGGGCTGACCCATGTCAGCCTACCGTCCATGACAGGTTTTCACTGGCCTGGGATAAGGACAAGGAAGATATTTTCTAAAGCTAAATTGATTCAATTTGAAGAGCTGTCTTATTAGATCCAAACGCTAGGAACCACTGGCCTGGCATAAAAAATACAACCTGGGCAAGAAGTGTGTGTATGGGGTGGGCCAAGTCTGTGGGTCCCTTCGGGGGACGGCTGCAAGGATAACAGAGCAGAAGGCGCAGCCTCCAGCCACAGCCACAGCGCTGCCCTGAGAGCGGGGAACTCCAGGGTGCCGCCCGCTCCAGCAGTCTTAGCTTCGGGATGTTTCCACAGCTGGGGCAGCCCTTCCGTATGTGACATTCCGTTCTCTCCACAGACCCCGTCCTACAACAAATACAACCTCAAACCCCAAACAAGTGAGAAGCAGGCTAAAGAGATCCTGATCCGCCGCCAGAACACGTTCCGGGAGAGCAGGAAAGGCCACAGCCTGCCCTGGGGAAAGCCGGTATGCCGGGGACCTTCCTTCAGTGTGCGGAGGGGTATCACCTGGGCTTGAGCCCGTCCAGGTAAAATAGGGTCTCCTCAGGAGAATGACCATCCATATTTAAACAAATAAAACGCTCCCTTGTTGCCAGAGAGGTATAAAAGCGAGAGGGTGGGATGCCAAGACACCTGCCTCCCTGGGCCCAGGGCAGTAGGTCCCCCGAGGCACTGGCTCCTGGGGCACCACCCTTAGGGTGAGTCAGTGATGGCTGGCCACTGGCATGTTAGCCTCCCCCTAGTCTCAGGGGGACTACAGGAGTAGCTCTGAGAGGTTGACATTGGTCTCTCTTCTGGCTGGGCCTGATAGCTCACACCTGCAATCCTAACACTCTGAGAGGCTGAGACAGGTGTATTGCTTGAGCTCATGGGTTCGAGACAAGTCTGAGCAAGAGTGAGACCCTGTCTCATAAAAATAGAGGATCATTTGAGTCCAGGAGTTTGAGGTTGCGGCGAGCTATGACGCCACAGCGCTCTACTAAGGGCAACAAAGTGAGACTCTGTCTCAAAAAAAAAAAAAAATAAAAACACAAAGTAATGGTCCATCTTCTGATGACAAGGAAAGGAAATCCATGTGGAAGACAGACGTGTTCTGCTTTCCTGAAACAAAAGTACCTGAAAGCCAGTAACCCAGACAAGATGCCGCCCTGTAGATCTGCTCTCTCACTTTGTTCGCTACATGAAGCTCTTAATTGCAGGAGCTCATTCTGCTTTTTATTTCTGCTTGCTACTTACAGGCTGGCACCAAAAATATCCGTTACCTCTCCTTTCCCTACGGCCATCCTCAGTCTGCAGGAGGAGACTCCGGGGCTGCTGAATTCACAGGTACTGGCATTCTCTTCCTGCAGAGGCAGATGACCATCTGTAAATGCTTGGGGGTTTGTGGGCCAAGAGGCAAAATCAGTAACATCATGTAGGTTACTCACATGCAGAGAAAAGGAAGAAAACAACTTCTTTCATGGGTGAAATTCAGAGTTTTATTTGCAGACAGTGAAATTTGAATTTTGTATAATTTTTGCTTATCATAAAATATTATCTTCCTTTAATTTGTCTCAGCCTATAATCCTAGCTCTCTGGGAAGCTGAGATAGGTGGATTAACTTAAAAATGTACTGGACATTTGTAGTTCACAGGCCATATGGAGGCAGCAGGCCAGATAGGGCCCACAGGTCATGATTTGCCAACCCCTGTCTTGAAGAAATACAATGAAAGGGGCACTTCACTGAAGTTGTGGTAATCGCCCACAGTTTAAAAATGAGCAGAATGCTCTACAGTTGATTAGATTTTACTAAAACGATGCCATCAAATTTACTGATTTCTGAGAAGAAAAAGTAATGATGTGGCACTTGTGTTTCCACTTCTCCTTCAAATGTTTTAAAGAATTGTGATCATGATCAGAGTGAGACTGAGATAGTCTTCAGTATGTATCAAGGCACCATTGATTATGGGAATCCATTCTGTCTTCAAACCCGAAGTCTTTCTGCATCAGAAGGTCAGACAATGACCAGAGGGGCTCCATGGGGTATTAAGGAGGGTCTCGTCCTGCAGGCAGTCCACGGCTGTCCAGCCTGAGACTGGGAGAACACGTCCCTTCCTTGCTCTCCCCTGGCCCTCCTGGGTCAGGACTCCTCTTGCTCTGAATGTCTGAGGGCTCCACCCTAGTTTGGGGGCCCGCACATGCTTTTCCCAGACTTTGGAGCTGACGTGGTGTTATAATTAAGAGATCTCTCCTCAAAACCCCATCTATGCCCTGAGCTGCTTAAAATCCATGTGGCTTGGGGGAGATGAGGAGGCTCTGGGGTTGAATGGTGGTGAAGACGACACAGCTATGTGAAGGCACTTCATGCCACTGAACTGCAGTTCCGTAAACAGAGCTACAATGGCCAACTTTGTGTTGTATATATTTTACTATAATGAAACAAAAAAGTGGAGGGTTGTGGGGAGGAGAGTTGTATGCTAGGTCTAGGTCTCTAAGCAGCGTGTCAGGCTCTGCCCTGCCTGCAGCAGAAGAACTTTCCGTATTTCTCCTTTCTCCCCAGGGTGCCCAGGTCCAGAAGCTCAGCCTCTTAGGTAGGAGGTAGGAGAATAGATAATGAGATTTTGCTGGGCACCGTCCCTGGAACCACACTGCCTGGGTGTTCAGGTGGGGAAGGGTTGTACAAAGAAGGACAAAGCACATCCCCACCCTTCCTCCTGCGTTCCCTCTTTCTGGCCACCTTCTCCCTCACAGTTTGGGCAGATTTAATTGAGTAAAATCTTGAAAGTCACATGCCCAAGCCCCTCCCTAGTGCTTGGATCCCATCTTACCATAATCCAGAAAGTGGTCAGGAAACCGGCTAGAGCGCATGCTCCATAGGAATGGCCCAACTGAGAGAAAGGACAGGGCTTGGAGGCAGAAGCCACCAGCCATTGTTTTCTTAGATTGAGCTTAGAGCACTAGAGGATCTGGAAGGACTCTGGTCCCAGCCCCACCACAGAGCAGAGATTCTAGGGAAGTCATGGGAAAAAATGGACAAGTGTACTGAATAATGTTTTCTTTATTAAAAGTAGTTAATCCCCACCCTCTACCCCCACTGCACCTTCCAAGCTTCTCAGGATAATTGGGTCACATTTTGGATAAACTTTCTTCAACAAGATATTTTAAGATTTTTTGATATCCCACATTCTGAACACTTTTTGTCACATGTAAACCTTTGGGTGCATTAGTTCTACTGGTGGGCTTTTGTTTTTGTTTTTTGTAGGAGGGAGTAGAGGTTGGAAGAAGGACCATGGATTTCAGATGTAAATATAAAAGTCTGAAAATTCCTAAACTCTCAGGAGACTAATTAAAGGGAAAACAAATTTGTTAATACTTCAAGAAAATGAGAATCAATGAGATATGTAGAATATATTCCTTTGAAGATGTCTGAACATTGATGTAGGGAAAAGGCAAGGCCTTAGGCATGGGTTGGGGGTTAGGAAGATGCTTGGGAGTGAGTGCTGCATAGACACCTGATGGCTTCTCCTCTCAAGATGTGCCCCAGCCCACCTGTGCATAGTGGATGTAAAGGGGAAGGATTCTCAGCAGGACAGGCTCTGCTCTAGCTCCACTCCTGTCTCCACCAGCTGTGTGATGACACTGAATGTCACTTAACCTTGTGAAACCTCAGTCACTTTACTTATGAAATGAGGGTCACAATTTTACTCATCTCAAAGGGCCATTACAAGGATTGGCCTTCGGATACATAAACCGATGATCACGGTGACTGCCACATAATAAGTACTCAATGAATGGACGTTCGTTCCTGTCATGATCATCAGCATCAGGGCCAGCCACTGTTCACTGGCTCACCCCTTTGAAAGGAAAGCACCCAGTCATTCCCTGGCCTCTGCTGTGGTTCCTTTGTGTCCCCATTTCTCCAAGACTGGCTTTTTCAAAGTCAAAGAAATGAAACTCAGATGTAATGCTTTCTGGCAACCACTTATTTAAAAACAAAGATATAACCATCCCTGTGTATATTTATTTGGCTGTGCCATGCCACCTTCCATTTACCATTTGGCTTTGGACAAGGCAATGCACATTGGCTCCCTATGGTCTACGTCCATGGCCAACTGGTCTGATTTTACCCACCTGGGAAAAACTGGCTGGATCCACAATTTTCCATGCATTTCTATTTATTTATAACATTGCACGTACAGCTTCTGTGCTCCCATCTGCTCCGGGTAGTAACTTTGAAAAGGGAAGTTCATGCTGATAAGCAAAGTCGAGTGTAAGTCCTCAGAGGAAGGGCTTTGCTTCACTCTCAGTTCTTGTCATCTAGAGATTAAGTCTTGACTCTGATCTTAAGTCTTGTTTTTTGCCCTTCTTATCATGATGTTTTCCTAGATGACGATAGCAGTGATCCAGGACTTCCGTTCATCAAGTTTAGCACACCCTCTCAGACAGGATCACTTCAGAAAAGACGGCGGATGCAAGAGGCGATCCCGATGAAGAGCCTACACGGAGGAGGGAAGGCATTCAACTCTGGTTATCAAAGAAATGCGAGCCAAGAAGGGGCTGTGGGAGGAGGCAGGAGGGCAGCTTCAAGGCCCAAACCACTGTTTCACGTGGTGGATGAGGAGTATGAATCCGGAGGGGAGAGTGAGCAAGAGTCCCTAGCAGCTGGGTCCAGATGGACAGCAGACCGCGGAGACAGCAGGGAACACGACAAGTCCCACAGTCCTTTGCTCCAAAGGAAATAGTGTTATTGTTTCTGGGTTTTTCAAGAGTCTATTTCCCTGTGATGGTGAAAGGAGGATTTTTGAAGTTCAGAACAGAGCTGCTGAGTTTGCTTTTCTGGAGCTATTAGCTATGTTATCTACAGAGGCAGGAAATTTTTTCTGAAGACTGGGAGCAGACTCCCAGGCGGTGCCATGTTCTTAGCGGACGTAACTTTGCAGATGAATAATTGTGAGTGAGAGACGCCATTCACCCCAGGAATTAGTCACTAAGATTCCTAAGAACTTTCTATCTAGAATGATCCATGCCATATATTTTAACACAAGTGTGGTTGATCAGTAATTTACATTAATTATGTGCATGTGCAACTTGCAATCCAAGTAGAACCAGAAGGGGCCTTTGAAGCTCCCCCAGCTCAGCCCCTTGAGTTTACTGACAAGGACACCTCGTCAGAGGCCATATGGTGAGATCACCATCTGCCCTCCCTCCCATGTCAATGCATTCAATTTTGATTTTGATATTTGATACACAATAACTGTATTTCAACAGAGGGATAAAATATATTACAACATTGATATATTTAATCAGTGGCAATGATAGATGTGATGTGCATTGTAGGATTAATCTGTGAACAATGGGCTTACAATCTATTTTATAATTGGAATATTCATTTAAAAACAAGTACTACAAACAAAACAGCCACAAAGAGTTTAATAGCAGAGACATGAACAGCAGGCATTTATTAGGTGTCCATGTGCCCTAGGGTTTGAAACTATTTCCCAATTTAATTTTCCATCCTCATTATCCCCCATATTTGACCTTGAATCTTAGACTCCAGTTTTCCAGTTCTATTTATCTTTCCTCCCTCCTTCCCTTCTCTTCTCTCTGGCCTCCTGTGCATTAATATACATTCTCAAGTGTTATTTTGTTGTGCCAAATTACTAACCTGTAATACTCAACTAGCCAAAGACCATTTTAATATCAATGTTTTGGGAAACTCTGTCATCCCTGACTGATTTAATCTTCTGCATCTTTAAAGGCCATGACCAAATGCAACCTGTCCCGTAGAACAGGGTCCCCTACCTTGAACCCCTGACTTATCCCTCGGTGTCCCCACAGCCCTTTGGATATGCCACACAATTTACCTGTGAATTATGTTTATACATCTACATGTGTGTCTATTCTGCTGGTCTGTGGCCTGAAGGACAGGGAGAATAGTTTGTTCATTTTAAATTTCATCCATTTATCCATTGTGTTTTTTATGTCATTGATTTATCTTTTTGGTATTTTTTTGGATTTTATCAATTTTTTCTTTTATTGGTTATTATACTGCCTTGTACAAGGTCGATTTTCTATAAATGTTGAACTGGCAATAAGGAAAGGACATTGGAGAAGGCATCAGCGGACATTCTTATTTTGCAGGTGACAGGGCCTGAGATGCTATCTGATGCTGGCTCAGGGTTTGTTTTCCCTTGAAGGAGGTGGGCTTGTCCTCAAGCACAGCCTATGGATACCTAGTTACTGACTAAGGACGTGCACTTTCCCTTGGATTTACATTTTGTGAATGAACTTCACTCAGGTTCCTACTGCAATGTAGACAAGGCCACCAAAGACGCTCACGTGTCTGTCTTCTGAATCTGAAATACAGTGCTGCTTCCGGATTGTCCAACTATCTCGATTTTGATGAAAATTAAACAAAACCAAACAATAGCATATAAAGCTCAGGGACCTCTGTTTTTTCTTTCTTTTTGTTTAAACAAACAAGCAATCCAAAGCAACAGAAAAATCTTAAACCACAGATGGAGATCCAGAAACAGAAAGGTCATTGGAATTCACCTTTCCTTCCAGTGTCAGAAGTAAGACTGATTCCTGAGAGCCGAAGAGTGCCTATGTCCCTTAGGGAGACTCTTGCCACATAATAACAGAAATCCAAATTGTGAAGGCCTATTCCCAGAGCAGCCAGCAAGGTGGAGGGCTTAGTGGAATCCATCTAAGTCTCCTGTTTTCTCTGAGATGCTGGTGCCCTTAGGGTGAGGCGTGGTAGGATTTAGAACAACTGAAACAGTTGGTAGAAGTGACAGAGGAGTTGTTTGCTGTAATGACACTGGCTGACCGTGGCTACCCAAGCCTGGGAAGTGGCCCTGAGCTTCTGCCTGAAATGTGTGGCAGGTGAAGGGCTCCTGTGATCCTGGTGGCTCTGTCAGACTCAGAGAGCTCACAGCCAAAATGGTGCCTTTATTTGATCATCCAGTGTGATTTCAAAATGCAGTGTGAGCTGGTCTCCCCTCCACACTCTCCTGAGTGACAGCTCTCTTTAAATAGGTACACAAACACAATGGGTTTTCCCAACACGCACCCAGCAGTGTAGCGGTGCAGCAAAGGGAGTTTCTTCTGAAGTGCTGAAGAAGGCCTGGCTCTTGTTCCCTACTCACCCCTGGGAGGAAATAAAATTGCATAAAGATTCCTATCCTGGGTCTGTCTGCCGGTTCACTAAGTAGTCACCATCTCTGCTAATGGTGCCCAAGAGTTTGTCCTTTCATCTTCAGCCTCAAAAAGTCAGACGCACAACATAACAACTCATATCCTTCTGTGAGTTTTTGTACTGTTTTGTGTTTAACTTTCTTTCTTTCATTTCTTTCTTTCTTTCTTTTCTTTTTTTTTTTTTTTTTGAGACAGAGTTTCACTTTGGCACCCTCAGTAAAGGGTAGAGTGCCATGGCATTATAGCTCATATCAACCTATAACTCTTGGGCTCGAGCGATCCTCCTGCCTCAGCCTCCAGAGTAGGAACTACAGGCTCTGCCACAATGCTGGGTTAGTTTTTCTATTTTTAGTAGAGACAGGGTCTCCCTATTGCTCAAGCTGGTCTCTGACCCTTGAGCTCAGGCAGTCCACTGGCTGTGGCCTCCCAGAGTGCTGGGATTCCAGGCATGAGCCACTTCACCCAGCCTGTTTGTGTTTAACTTTCTGAAACCCATTTACATTGTTAGCCTAAATTAGCATCTTGGGTCTCAATAAATCCTGAAGTTGAATAAAGTAACATTTTATTTTTCCCAGAACAGCTGTCTTCCACCTTAAAGGTTTGCCCCATGTTTTCTGGTGTTTGAGACAAGGGGACATTCTTCTTCATCCTCCTCAAGTCTGACATGATGCTGTGGGCCTCTCCCCTGTCTTTCATCTACCTGATTTATTGGCCCTAAGAGGGAATCTGCCATGACAAATGGAGAACGAGATTCTGCTCACTGTTAGGCTGCCTTCATTCTTTTCTTTCTCTCATGAAGGCTGTATGCCTCTGTGCTTCTTTTGTCAGAAAAAGTTAACAGAGTCATCAGTGGTAGACCTGGAATACTACCTGAATTCCATGATAGAATTACCCTTCTATAGAAGATGGGACTACCAAGGCTAGTGTGTAGGCAGAATTCAAGTCTTCCGTCTGAAATGTTGATTTCCTCTTGCAGAGAAACACCCTGAACACTTCCTCACTTGCCAGGATGCCTTCCCCTGTGATCATTTAGATTTTATTTTATTATTATTATTATTGTTTGGAGACATAGTCACACTTTGTCATCCTTGGTAGAGTGGGTAGAGTGCCCTTGCATCATATCTCACAGCAACCTCAAACTCTTGGGCTCAAGCAATTCTCTTGCCTCAGCCTCCTAAGTAGCTGGGACTGCAGGCACCTGCCACAATGCCTGGCTATTTTTTTAGAGATGGGGTCTCACTCTGTCTCAGGCTGGTCTCAAACCTGTGAGCTCAGACAATCCACCTGCTTCAACCTCCCAGAGCGTTAGGCTTACAGGTGTGAGCCACTGCCCTGGGCCTTGATTATTTAAATTTTAAATCAATATAGCCAATTCAGAGCTCAGGCTCTGAAGTCAGACCACTTTTAGCTGTGAGACAAGTTAATTATCTACCTCATAGAATGACTAAGAATTAAAGGAGATAATACAGCAGAACCTCTATAGTTGACCACCTCCCTTCATTGACCATCTCCTTGAGTTGACCTAATTTTCATAAACCAGACATGCACCACATGTATATATCAGTACAGTAGACCTAGTTCCCTATGTTGGCCATGTCTGCATGTTGACCTGTTTGTTACAGTTGGGTGTTCAATGTACGGAGGTTCTACCATATATGTAAAATTCTTAGCGTAGTATCTGTCTTAGAGTAAGATCTTGATCACTACTAGCTATCTGTTTTGTGTCCTTACTGTATATGGAAAGAATATTGCTTCATTTTACTTTTCCCCCCTCCCCTTTTTCGGAATAATTACAAATGGTATGCAATTCTAATCTTCTAATCTTGATTTGTGCTCAAAGAGATCGTGGATGTATACGCACAGCCAGACAGTGGGGGAAGGAGAAACTTGTCTTTATTGAGGAAAAACCTAGTGGAGTTTAATTTCTCAGCTTAGAATTTTCTCTAAGAGATTTTTCTCTCCAAAAAAGGTGATTCTCTTAACTTCTGAATATTAGCTAAAGAGGTAAGTGTTTAAGCATTTTCAGTCTGAAAGAAAATAGTTTCTAATATGTTTTATAATGCTCCAAAATTAGGCAAAGTAAATTTTTCATACAAAGTCAGTAAGTATGTTGATGTTGAGATTTTTGCAAGTATATTTTATCCACAACTAAAATGGTTTTTTTGTAGGTTTTAATTTTTTTTCCCTGACTGGATTCTGTCAAGTATCTTCTTTTTAACTCTTCCTGAGAAAACCCAGCAGTGAAGACAGACGGCTTCATTTCAGGACATCAGTCACTGTTAATTGTTAATGGGGCCATAAGCCAAGGAGAATGAAAGGGGTGCCCACATCACAGCTAGCTGCTCCTATAATCAGAAAGTGATGTGCCCTTTCATCCGTGCACACTAATTGATTTAATAAATTCTTTTTTTTTTTTTGTCCTGAGACTCTAATAAGCCTCCAAACCAAGAGTATTCAAGTAAGTGTGGTAGGTTGGAAATAAAAATTTCCATTGCCTAGCCTTCTTCAAGTTAGGGTTAACAAAGTAACTCAAAACATGTTG